ATGATAAACCTTATTTTTTTTTTTTTTTGGTGGGGGGAGTAAAAATACCTATTCAGTAATTTCTTTTTACGGTCTGCATATGTTATTTAGAGGATCTCCTTTTTGGCAGTTTATTGATTGTCAGAGCATTGGTCAAAATGCTGAGTCAAGAGAAATCCAAATTTGGTAAATTTAGGTGTTAAAGGAGGTTGTAATATTATTTAATAATAATTGTTTATATTTTCAGTATTTATCATAAAAAAATAAGTTTAATACTAATCAAAGCATATACTGACAAGGTAAAACTGTCAGGACTAAAAAAAAATATTTGCACTGTGGTTGAAATTTAAACATGTAAGTTTATTCTATTAATAATTTTTTTCAATTAATTAAGGTTTTTAGTTGAGATAAAAAGTCATCGTCACGAGCAGGATTCGAACCCACGATCTTCGGCTAGAGACGCCGCTGCTCTATCAGTTGACCTATCGTGACTTCGATTCACTTGGTCACTTCCCATCTCAACCCCACCTTTTGAATTTTCCCTCCTTTTTGCCATTTTTCAAATGTCGTGTAATCTATTTGATTCTCGGCGACATATAAAATGACCACGGAGAGCTTTAGTGAAGGAATACTTCATTTTAACTTATTAAATTCACTAGTTTTCGTGATGCTGACTTTTTTATCTCAACTAAAAACCTTAATTAATTGAAAGATACTTATTGGTCAAGCGGACCATGAAAACTAGTGAATCTATTAATAATACACAAATAATGAGAATGTCAATATTTTTGCTTATTATTAGTTGTAATTCAAATTACTGACTCAAAAAGCATTGACGGCGAAGCTCTCACATGAGAACATTGGCAATAGGTGGCCTTCAGAGGATCTAACTGGTAGAAGAACGATCATCCCCACCTGATTAAGGATTGTTGTTGTCACATGGACACCTACTTTTGATCCATGTTCCAAAGGTGGCTCGATGTGTCCTATTTAATTGAAGGGTGCAATTTCTCGGCCCTATTTAGGAATTCTGTCTGATGTGAGAATTGTGCTTTAGCACAGCAGCGAGTGTATTTGTCCCTTGTTCTGATTTTTAGAGGAAACAAGATTGTTTTATTGTACATTGTCTTCAGGTTCTTTGTATATATTTAGATTGAATGTATTCATTAGCTTGAATGTGTAGTGTAGGAGGTTCTGTCACGGAATATTGAGTACCCCATTGACCTTCAATTAGATTCGTTATATAATATGTTTGGAGATGCCATTGATTCCTCCTTCACATATGTAATTGTTTAGGCTAATTCGGTGGTGGCCGTGAGACAGGCAAGTGTGGCCTATTCTTGTTAAAAATTATTTTTTCATTTTATACTTTTTAACATCAAACAAAAACAAATTACATAGCAAAAAATGAAGAAAAACTCTGTGTAGAGGAATATATTTAAGTATAAATCCATAAATAGATTCTGATAAGAAATACTCATAATAGCTTCATTTATAGAAAGGTCATTTGATGTATAAAGTTAGTTTTCGATAGCTCCAGCAGTAAGCTGACAGCAATACAGTTCTCACAACATTACAGTTCTCCACAATTCTCACTCTCTCAAATAACAAAAGTGCAATAATGGTTACATTTACACTTACATAGTGTGAATAGACAATAATCCGGAGGCAGTATGTGCTCATGTGTTGTATCAAAAGGCTGGGCTAAGAAAATTTGTCAAATCCTCCAGCAATTTTCTCATAAATTTATCTAATAAATTTACCTGGGGGAACAAGTAGAAAGGCGCATGGAATTATTTTTTATTGCTGGAAGCTTCTTAAATAATGGCAGGTTTGACTCCTGGTAAGTAATGCATACTGCAACATGAATTGTACTGTATGTGATTATTATAAATATTAGATATATTTCAATTAATTATTCTTTTTATGTAAGGTCTTGGTTGAGATGAAAAAGTTAGTGTCACGAGCAGGATTCGAACCCATGATCATTTGAGCTATCATGACAATGTGAATATTGTCACGATAGTTCAAGTGGTTAGAGCAGCAGCGTATTGAGCCGAAGGACATGGGTTCAAATGCCGCTCTTGACACTAACTTTTTCATCTCAACCAAGACTGACCAAATTACTTATTTAAATTAATTATTCTTTTTATGTAAGGTCTTGGTTGAGACGAAAAAGTTAGTGTCATGAGCGGCATTTGAACCCATGTCCTTCGGCTCAATATGCTGCTGCTCTAACCACTTGAGCTATCGTAACAATATTCACGTTGTCACGATAGCTCAAATGATCGTTGTTCGAATCCTGCTCGTGACACTAACTTTTTCATCTCAACCAAGACCTTACATAAAAAGAATAATTAATTGAAATAAGTAATTTGGTCAGTTAGACCACTAAATATAAATGAATTAATATTAGATATATTGTTAAAAAAAATTAAATAAATAAATAAAAATATTTAAAAAAACCTATGCTTTCACCCTTTTTTATTCTTAATAAATCCTTCGATCAGAGAGACTATTATCCATATGTAGAGGAGAGGATGCTTATTGTGTTTAATTTTCCATCTGATAACTTTTAATCTGCGATAGATATTCCACAGTCCAAAGTTTCATTTTAATTATGCAACAAATTCAATACACATTTATACCATTACATGACAGGTTCTATATTTACGTAAATAATTCCATACATGCTTGTGCAGTCTGGTGATGACATTTGGTATGTGCTATAATTATTTATTAAAATTAAATTTTAGTGAATTGGTTAAACATTCACGTGTTTATTCTAAAAAGCTGGGGAGGGGTGTCCAATAGATTTTTTTTAAAACCTATATAGTTACATACACAAAACATAAAAACAAACTTACAGTTCACAAAACTGCTACAACTGATTTGGACATTTGGTATAGAACTGTGGGGCATCGCTAAGACTTTTCCAACATCTAACTTCCCCAATCCTTTCAGTCTAAATTTCTAGATCAATTATAAATGCTCCATATTATGTTTCCAGTACTACCCTCCACAATTTCCTTAAATTCCAAAGGGATCTATCCAAAACATGATTCCTCAAAAATTTACCATGTTCTACAATAATCCCTCCCATCGCCCCAAAGTTTCGCCCAAGCCCAAGAACCATCCCGACGATCAAGGCGACTCAAGAGGAAATGGCCCCACAACCTCCTTTCTGAGGAGAAGGCAGTGAATTGAAGTGGAAGAATAATATTGATTATTTGCTCCCACAATATAAATATTTAAATAGCTGTAAATATATCTTTGTTCATCAAATTACTTCATTTGTTTCGTGTGAAATTGTTAAACGTGAATTTGTATTCTGTTGTTTTTAACAGTTTCACAAAAATTTCTCATGAAACAAATATGACACCACAACAATAAATAGCACCTCTCTTTATGTATGAAATACTTGGTTCAATATTTATGTTATTTACATCTGTGTCTTGTTTTGTCTGCATTTCAACAAAAAGGTTCTCCGATTAATAGCCGATGTGAGTTTCTTCTCATTGTTGGCGATGTCCTTCAGAATACTTTTTGCTTCGTGTCCCTATGTAGTTGAAATTTGTTCATAGAATCCCATGTTCTTCGTTCTTCTTCACATCAGACACATTTCCGAATAATCATAGACTAACGGTCACTAATCACCAAACATTTTTACACGAGAAGAACATGGGATTCTATGAACAAATTTCAACTACATATGGACACAAAGCAAAAAGTATTCTGAACTACATGGCCAACAATGAGAAGAAACTCGCATTGGCTATCAATCAGAGAACCTTTTTGTTGAAATGCAGACAACACAAGGACCTGAAGATGATATGAATAAAGATCAAATTGTTGGCACAATAAAGAAAATGTTTGCCTGAAACCTACGTCAAAACTAGACCGCATCTCACGATTTCTGAATAATCGTAGACTAACGGTCACTTTTACATCTGTATTTTTTTTCCAATCAACATATATTTTTTAAATCATCCTCGCCCTGAAGGTGACCTGAATAAAGGTCGAAACATCAGCAAACAAATGAAAAGGTGTTTTTCTAAAATATTTCATTGACCGCTACACACCATTTTAAAAAATAATTTAACAACCAGTGACTAAAAAACACGCATTGAAAATAGGTGTTCTCAAAGTATGAGTTAGATTAAGCATTATTTTAGACGTATTCTCTTAAAAAATGTCTTAATATTTTTGTTCTGCTATTGGGATGGAGTGACTCTTACTAATATTGATAATCATTAATAACGTAAAGAAGTTTAAGTTAATTTGCAAGAAATAGTAGAAGTTAGTTCTTTATAGACTGTGAAACAGCTATGACCATTGCCTGCCCTCTGGAATCATAATTTTCTATTATTTCTGTCATATTTTAGGTGTCTGCTCTCATTTGAGTATTTTGTTTTTGCCATTTTAGTTCACTGACTTTCTGCTGTACTTTTTTTTTCTAATGGCTAGCTTCTTGTTGGTACCTTAGGTTATTAAATTAATTTTAACAATAAAACACACAAAAAAGATAACATACATTAATGCACAGTATTAACACAACAGGTTGCATGCTCCCTACTCTCATTAAAATGCTATGTCAGTGCAAGAAATATTGAATTGATTATTTGATTTCAAGAATTGCTATGGATGATGTATATTTGTACATAACAGACACGTTTCCCTAGAAACATTTTCATTCACTGTTTTATTTATTAGCTTGAGTTTGGTAATTTAGTTAATTGCTGGTACCTTAATCTGTCAAACCTAAATTAACATCAATTGCATTATTGTGTAAAATATATTTCTTGCAGTACATTAAAATTTGATCAAATGTACTTAATGAAGTGTAAGCCATCACATTTTTCATGTGTAGTTTTGTTTTAAAACATTGTTTTGTAAAATGTGTATAATTAATTTTATGGGGGGAATTCAGAGCATTTATTTGTGGTTTTTTTTAAATAAAATTATTAAGTACTACTTTTATGTAATGTGTATATGTTTTTAGCCTAAACATATGTTTTTAGCCCGTAGGATGTCACACCACAGTGATGACACTATGCTTATGCCAAGCAGTGATAGTTTCTGGGAACCTGGAAACTATAAGAGATCAACCAAAAGAATAGAGGATGGGTATAAGTTATGTACAGACTTAATAACATTAGTGCAAGAACGCGCAGACATAGAAAAGGCCTATGCTAAGAGTTTAAAGAGCTGGTCCAGAAAATGGAATGACTTAATAGAAAAAGGTGATTGATTATAATTATTATTAAAACAACAGTTAAAATTTGTTATTGTTACTCAATTCTTATTTAGGCCCTGAATACGGTACAACCCAGGCAGCATGGAAAGGTGTTCTAGTTGAAGCTGATAGATTGTGTGACCTACATCACAAAGTTAAAGATGATTTATGCAACGAAGTAATACAGAACGTTAAGTCTTGGCAGAAAGATACTTACCACAAGGTATGTTAATGTATTAATTGTTGAACATCATTTATCGACTTAGGCCTTAGTAGGTTTGAAATATTAATTGCCACATTGGTATATAATAAATACATCATCAATATATTTGTAAAGTGTAATGTTTGTGTATTTCAGTCTATAATGCAAATAAAGGAGAGGAAAGAAATTGAGGACGCTTTTAAAAAGGCTCAGAAGCCATGGGCTAAACTTTTAGCGAAAGTCAACAAAGCCAAAACTGATTACCACAGTGCTTGCAAAACGGAAAAGTCTGCATCAAACCAAGAACGCAATGCTAATGGCGATAACAGTATTTCAGTTGATCAGGTATCTTATAAATTACATTGAATTTAACATTAACTTTAATTACATAACATTATATCAACTTTAGATTAAGAAGATGCAAGATAGAGTAACAAAAACAAAGGAAGATGTACAAAGATGCAAGGAGAAGTATGAAATTGCTTTACAAGAGTTGAACACTTACAACCCAAAATACATGGAAGATATGACTGTTGTTTTTGAAAAGTGCCAATCACTAGAAGCAGATCGTTTACAATTTTTTAAAGAAACTCTATTTTCATTGCATAAGTGTCTAAATATATCCCAGGATCCAATGTAAAACCTTTCTTCATTGTTTATTTTGTTTTTATTCGATTGACTTGTGTAATTTTAAATTGATTAAAATCATTTACAGATTGCCACGTCTCTATGATGAGTTTTATCATACAATAAGCAATGCTGATCATGAAAAAGATTTAAAGTGGTGGTCAAACAATCATGGTGTTAATATGGCAATGAACTGGCCTCAATTCGAAGTATGTAAAACCTATTTCACGTATACTATCTTTGCAAGTTATCCTTTTGAAATTTATTATATAGGAAACAGTTGATTTTTAGCCCTACCTTGGATTGCTCTTAAAAAATCTAGGACTTTATAAACAGTTATTTTCATTTTATTTTACATGACAGTATTTTTTGCTTTTTGCCTAGAATGTCGTCTCTCTTTTTAAGTTGTAGTTTTGTGACACTCATATAATAATCAATTCCTTTTGCTTAATTTAAAGCATCCGTTTGATCGATGGGTACAAAACGACTCTTTAACATTTAAATCCTCCTTGAATCGCACCATAACAAAACATTCATTATGCTTTGTTTTTTTCAACTTGACCTCGAACACGTCTACCTATGTTTACTTTGCAGTTACATAATCCGATCTTTCCTTTTATGTGTTATTCTTTCATTTGTAACAAAATGATGGCGACGTGCTTTCAATATTTGGCAAAGCAAAAAATGATCTATGATTACTAGAAATCCAATTTAAAGTAAATAAATAATTTTTGATTAATTTTATTCGTTCAGAACCCATAACTCGCACTTAAACCCTTTAATGATACACATTATAATAAACACATACTATACATATTAAATGTGGTAAAATAATAAATAGCTTGTATTTAAATTAAAGAATAAGAAATGCAAAATAATGAAAGAAAAATCTGTTTTGTAAACTTATATATTTAATAGCAGGGTAGAATGTTCTCAAATTAATATCAGATTAACTATTTTCGATTTGCACCCCCAACTGCAAACTGATGACATCATAAATGCATAATCCCACTCAATGCTGAAAATCACAACAAACAATAACAAATATAGCAATAAAAAAAATTAAAAAAAAAACTGATACCGAACAAGCACTATCTTGAAACTACTAAAATAAAAAAAAAAATGAAACAACAAATGGACAGTATTCACATACCCAGGAAAAGAAATGAACTTGTTCAACAAACCCTGACTAAAAACAGCACTAAGAACCAACAATAACACAGATAAACTACTAAAAAGAAACACTGGCAACTGACCCGCTAGACTATAACAGTGTTTATAGCATCACATGTCAATGCGGAGAGACATACATTGGACAGACTGAAAGGAAATTAAGAGATAGATTCAAAGAACATCTTAGATTCTTCAGAGACAACGTCGGGAAATAGAATTACACCACACATGTAATACATCGCGATTACGAACCAAACACAATTGAAACATTGATGATACAATGATTTTAATACATAATGCAAAAATAAGGACAAAAACTCAACATACTGGAGAACTTAGATATACAAACAAATAAAATTTAAGTAAAACTTATAAACATACAAACAAATTTACATTCACCCAGTACTTTCACACCACTAAAAACACTATGTAACAAAAAATGCAAATGTTCAGAAGCAAACAACATAAAAACCAGCATGATAAAAAAACTAACAATGCACAAATAATAACCGACAATGAAAACTGACATCACTACCGACAGAAGAACACCATGACCAACTGCAATCGCCCCAGCACAACTGATGGACCCAATGACATACAAACCCTTCTCACACAAAGAGACAGAAGTTTCTCACTGAAGAAGTTCCTTCTGAAGTAGTCCCTCACTGAATATGGCGCAATGTTGATATGCATTTGAGTGATTCAACAAACTGACGAGTGAAGACAGACCCAATAAATGACCGCATACTGGTTCAGCATGATTATTAGAAAATAACAATTGAATTATTGGGCTGGTGCAAAAATAATGCAGGTTTTGAAAAGGTAGTCAAAGCTATTTTTAATTTTTATAAAATAAAGAAAACTTATTCAAAACAATTTATGTCGCAATTTACATATTTTTACCAACGTGTAATAAGCACTGACATAAAAATCTTTATTTCAACTCACAAAAAATTTTGGAATGCGTTTTTGGCTTCACTGCATTCTCTAAAAATGTTATCCCTCAAGAAGTGATCAAAATGCCTAAAAGTGGAGGTCTCTAGACAAGAGGTCAAGTGAATTATATAGAGGGTGAGGTAAGGTTTCATAACCTAAGTCCTTTCCGACTTAGTTTATGTTTAAGTTTCCGCAGGGTTGGCATTGCAACCATGTGGCTTGGCGTTATCGAGAAGAAGAATCAGCCCTGGTTTACCAATGCTGGACAAAGACGTTGCAAATTCCCATGCCTTTTGTCAATTACTTGGCAATATTTCTCTGCTGTGATAGTTTCATTATAATTCAGGAAACTATGGTGAACAACCCCAGCAGTACACCACCAAACAGTCACCGTAACATTTTTTAGATTCAGATTTTGTTTTGACGCTTTATCCTTGTCTAACCACTGACGTGTACGCCTCCTGTCATCGTACAGAATCCATTTCTCATCGGATGTGATGATTCGATCGAGAAATGGATCATTTTTGTGGCACAACAGAAGAGACATGCACATTTAAAAATGTCTATTTCTTTATGCTTGGGTTAGATCGTGCGGTACCCACTTGTCACGCTTCTTTACTTTACCAATTTGCTACAGATGGCGAAATGCGAACAACGGTTGAGTGGTCAACACTAAGCTCACTTTCCCGTCTTGTCTTACTTGAATTTTCTTCAGTCAACATTTTGAATTGGTCGTCGTCCACAACAGAAGGCCTACCACGACCTTCCCTGTCTTTGAGATCGAAATCTCCAAAACAAAATCTTTGAAACCATTGCTGCACCGTGCATTCGCTAATGCTTCCCTCCCCCCAAACTGAATTGATGTGAGCACAGTTTGAGCCGCACTTCGCCCAACTTTAAATTCGTACAAATAAATTTGCGTAGGTCCTCTTATAAAATTCAATATGAACTAAAATGTTTTGTGTAGAAGATAAGTATTTATTTCAAATCTTATCCATAAATTAGATTTGAGGATTTAGCTTTGTTTACTTGCGGAAAAAAAATATTCAAAACCTACTTTAATTTTGCACCAATCAATATTTTATCCAATTCAGAACCCATCTATAACTCACACCTAAGCCCTTTAAATCCGGTAAATATTGTTTTATTGACTGTAGTAAAATTACAAAATCTTGCATTTAAAATAAATAATAAATAATAAAGAAAAAATGTCATGTAAATAGCAGGGTAGAATGTTCTCAAATCAATATCAAATTAAATATTTACGATTTTTATAATTCTTTTGCAGGATTTAAAATTTTATAGAAACAAATGGTAAATAGAGATATTTAATTTTTCTTTTTCACACTTTTTTATATTTTTGCTAGATGGTATTGATATTTTTCTCTGTTAAGACAAAAGTACACAATGGGATCCATTATTTTGCTTCACAGAATAAGCAATGCTGCCTTTCTAATTCATAGTTGCATTTCGTTGCAGTGCGTCTCTTATTTGTTGTAATTATACATTTTGGCAAACTGCTTTAACTACAATTCAAAGGGAAACCAGTGAAGGTTTTATTTATATGTATTAATGTGATGGCATAAGATAATAGATTTTCAAAAATGTTGCGAATTTGTATAAAATTGTTTTTTGGCATACATTTTCTAAAGATTTGTATTAATTTTTAATCTTGAAAAAATTTGTAACATTGTTCTTTGACCAGATGTGCACAACTTCACAAATATAAATCTTTAACTGATCAAATAGAGCAATTCAAAGTAACATCCATCATATGTTGATATGAATGCAACTGATGTGTTCCTAAGATTCAGAAAAAACAATTGTGAGTTTAATACAAAGTTGTTTATTTATCCCAAAGAGTTTTTTAAAGTCATTGTGGAATGAAAAAAAAAGCTATTTTTGAACATTGTTTCTTTTAATTTTATATTCAAAAAATCTCTGTTTGCATATCAATTGCATGTTAGTTGCTTGCTGTGGTTATGCATGGTTTGTGTTGATGTGTATATTAGGATTATACGGAAGAGTTTCGAGATATAGCCAAGGGAAAATCAAAGGACTCCATCCCTGCAGGAAGCATCACATTAATAAACCAGCGGCCAGTCGGAGAAGATATGCCTGTAATGTATTTTTTTTTTAATTTTTAATTTTTTTTTATACACTAGTTTACATTTTTTGGCAGATGTGAAAAGTTTTGCATTTTCAAAGAATGTCTGTTTTATTTTAACGTTAGTCTGTTATGTCCAAACAAAACCACTTTTACTTTTATGTGTTTGATTAGATTATACAATAACATTTTTTTTAATAATTAAAAAATTAGATTAACAATGTAGTGACAAATACTTTGTTTATTCATAGAAATTTTAACATTCTGAATATTTACAGATACAATTTCACTAAATTTCACTTATATTACATGCTTAGATAAATGTAATATTGTTTTATATTAATTAACATGCCTTTATTTATTTATTCATCTTGAAAATTTGTTTCTCGTTAATTGTTACATAATTATAATTCAAAAGTTGTACTCATGTTGCAATTAATTACTTAGTAGCACATAAAAAATAGAATTTTATGGAGTATAACCAAGATTTCAAAACATTACAATGGAATGATTCAATAAACTGCTGTGCCTTCCTTGTTAGTATAAACTTGTTTAGAATCTCACTTTTGTCACCTAGTGGTTTATGCTTTGTACTTCGTTAAACTTGAGAAAATATTTTAAAATAATAACCCAAACTTTATAGAGAAAAAAAAAAGTTTATTACACTACCAGATTTAATATACCACAGTCATTCTCATATAGGGGTGAATAAATAAAACACGATTGTGATATTATTGGACAAAAAATGCACAACCAATATATTTGGTCTGCAATCAATTGAACAGTCTGCAAGGTTGTGTTTTGAAAAAAAAATGAGGCACTTAGAGCTGCTATTCAGGCCATCCGGAAAAAGTCCATTGTACTGTCATAACATTTTTTTAAAATATTGAATAGAGAAATATACATTATTATAGAACATATGATTACCATTCTGTGTAAACTTTGCTAGGAATATCCACCTGTCAATGCGAAGGTTCCAACACAGAGAAAACCAGGGACGACCCCTGCTGTGAATGCTCGAATGATAGATGGTGGTGATGGAAAGATCGATTTGCCAAAGTCTCCAGAGACGAAGACAACATCAAGAGGCTTAAGTGACAGTAATCCAGCTTTGTAAGTTATTTTGTACCGATGCTGTTCTACATTAATTTATAAGAAAGAAGCCAATTTTTTAAATATAATTTTGTTTTGAAATATCTATATAAATACGCTCAGACAAATAAAATAGGATATTCATAGTGTGTGGTTTATTGCCAACTATATGTACTTTTATTGTTATATTAATTACAACATAGTTATTTTAATAAAAGGGTTTGAAGCTGTTCAACACTTGTTGGATTTGGCGAACGATGTCTAACCCATCTCTTTATCATGTCCCTTCTTGAGTATCCTATGGGATTCATATCAGGAGAACATGCTGGCCAATTCATTGTAGTAATCCCTGCATCCTTCAAGTAATGGATGACAACTCGAGCTATATGCGATGGAACATTATTATGCATTAAACACAAAGTTTTCCCCAATAAATGGAGTGAATAGGACCATAGCGTCCCGAAAAACTTCCTCAATGTACCTTAGTGCAGTCAAAGATCCATTCTGTATGATAATCAGTTCAGCATGAGCATGGATGTTGATTCCACCTCATACCATAACTGTCTTTATGAAGCAGAGTGTTATCCATATCTTTACACACAGCCCTCGTCGTCTGATTGCAACAAACCAAACTGGCACTCATCCATGAAGAGAACTGCCCTCTCTCCATTGTTCAAGTGTCCAGGCGAGATACTGATTTGTGAAGTTTGCCTTTCTAATTGATGCCTCTCCAGTAGTAGAGAACCTGATGCAAGATGTTACTAGTCTATTCTCGAGAATCTTTCTGAAAACTTTTCAGCTTTCTATATGGATTGGAGTTGACTACCTTTCTACCGTTCCTTAGTGCAGTAAGAGCAATAAAACGATTGCCTCTTGCCATTGTACTTTTGGTCAACCAGTACCTCTTCCTCTTCAACCTCTTCAGTTAAGATTTCGGGTAGCCATAAACTACTGTAGAACATCTTGGATGGTAGAATGTATCCCACCCAGGACTTGGGCTATGTAATGGATGGGTCTGTCATTGGCTAAAGCATCTGCCCTAGCGATATCTTCTTGGCTACCATGCTTTTAAGCAATTTGTTTCATCAAAGGAAATAATTTTTGTTTATTTTTTAATTAACTCACGCGACAATTTGGCTGAGGAAAGGATGTAATTGAACTGATTTTCTTTATTTTTAATCTTAAGTGTAAAAAGATTAGTAACACTATTAAGGTAAACAAGAAGTTATTATTATTTTTAATTGTGTGTGTGTGTGCGCGTGCGTGTGTGTGCGTGCGTGCGTGCGTGTGTGTGTGTGTGTGTGTGTGTGTGTGTGTATAGACTCGTACCCCATCCCTAAAAGCTCCGGGACTTGGTCGGCTCACGTGTCCTGCATAAACCTCTTGGACCTGTTCACAAACCCCAAGATTTTGGACTATTTAATCTTGGGGAGAGATTTGGTGATATCCTTTCCTTCAAAGATTTCAAATGTAGACCTAGCATACCTATCACACTCTGCGAGGTAGTGCCTTGCCGTTTCTTCTTTTATTTCGCAAAAACGGCAAAAGGGATCTGGTAGGATACCCATTACGAAGAGGTGTCTTCTCAGTGGGCAGTGTCCCGTCAGAATACCTATCAGCCTCCTATTTCCCTTCCTTGAGGTAGAGAATAGCCATTTCGATTCTGCTGGTTTGATCGCCTTAACAAACTCTTTCGATTGCCTGTATCCGGAGGATAAATTCCACTCAGTAAGGAATTGTTTCATGCCCCAGTTATTAATACTCTCTTTCGCTGTGCTCATACAGTGAGGTACGTCATACCGGTTGTGGCCCGTCAAACACAGTATTAGAACCTTCTTTGGCTAGGCCATCCGCCTTTTCATTGCCATGGTGTCCTTTATGTGCTGGTATCCAAATAAGGGTTACCTTGTTCTCAAACCTGAAAGATGTATTGATGTATAGTTTCCTCCACTAGTCGTGAGGTTGACAAATCTTTTTGTAATACCCTAAGACTAGCCTGACTGTCCCTTTAATTCTATGTATAAGATGACCTGTTTATTGTTGTACTTGATTTATTAAAGTGAGTTTTTAGTTAAGTTTTAATGTGTAGAGATTAGTGACCGTTAATCGATAGTTATTCAGATATCGTGAGATGCAGTCGGGTGTGATGTAGGTTTCAGAAAAACAGTTTCTTTATCGTGCCAACGTTTCGATCTTTTATTGAGATCATCTTCAGGGCTCAAAGTGTTTGTCTTCTGTGTAATTGTGCCATCCTTGCGTGTCGTGTTGAGAGTGCCAGCTCCACAAAGGCACTCTCAACACGACACGCAAGGATGGCACAATTACACAGAAGACAAACACTTTGAGCCCTGAAGATGATCTCAATAAAAGATCGAAACGTTGGCACGATAAAGAAAATGTTTTTCTGAAACCTACATCACACCCGACCGCATCTCACGATATCTGAATAGTTAAGTTTTAAGTGTTAATTCATTGCTCATATCATATTTAGAATGTGAACTGGTTTCATAGAACATTATGGTGTCAATTTAAATGTATTTTATTTTTAATCGTTGTTTCGACCAATGCCATTGATAAAAAAATAAAATAATGTACAATTAAAAAAAGAAAAGAATGGTTAAGAAAAAAGGAGAAAATATAATAACAAATATAATATATAAATAAAGAAAAGGTCAATGCAATAATGGCGGTTGGGTGTATTCTGTAATTGTGATCACCCATTTCCTTGCTGCACTAAGCGCAGGGAGCTCAGGCCCGATTCTTTCTGACTTTGTGGCAGTTGTTTCGACGGAGGTCCGGTGGATTTGAGTGATGGTCGAATACAGTAAAATGGGTGACTTGGGATTTCATGAGATATTAATGGTTTTATGCTATTTGTAATACAATGTAAAATAAGAACCAAATCGTAAGGGGCGTGCAATGAAAGAGAGCAGGATTAAAACATTTAATATATTTTAAAAGGGAAGGTGGGAGCAGGGTAGGGATTACTTTTTCTTAAACAAAACAACTTAATCCACTAGAGGATTGGCATAAATAATTGCTATATTATTATTGCTGTTTTGCTTTTGATAATGTCAATAATATTAGTATGTTTGATTCTTAGGAATGGTAATAATCAAACAACTGAATCAAACCCATTTGACGAAGATGAATGGGACGAGGGTGGTGAGGTATTGGTCGACACTGGAGAGCCTGGTGTGCCAGTCAGAGCATTATACGATTACGAAGGAGCTGAAAGTGATGAACTTTCATTTAAACAAGGTAATTAATCATAAATTTGTGGTGTATGCTTACAAGGCCACAAATTGGTGAAGAATTTTTTCTTTAATATTGTACCAAACCAATGAGGTTTAAATTGATTTTATAAATTGTCCAATAGGTGACACGTTTGAAAAACTAGAAGATGAAGATGAACAAGGTTGGTGCAAAGGGAGAAAAGAGGGCCGTGTCGGTCTTTATCCGGCTAATTATGTTGAACCAGTAGCTTAATTAAATAAGAGTAACATTATTAGTTGTCGAACACCCCAAGTATTCAAAATCTTTTAAAAAAGAGATATTTTCTGAAAATGATAACTTATGCATAATAAAAAATAAATTGGACAAAAATGCCGCTGGATGTGTAGGCTGTTTATTAACCGGATGCATTTATTTTTAGGTCGTGAAATATATTTTGGTAGTGTCAATACAATAAATTACCAATCAATTAGGGAAATTACTCAGAACTTATTTGCCAGTGTTAACTTATTTATACACATGTAATGTAATCAAATTATGTTATTTTACTAAAATAAATAAATAAAATAAATAAGCTGTAAAAATGGAGTATGTAAATTTGAATGTTGTGCTCATTTGTGCTGAAAAGTTGAAAGTTACTCTTAGCTTTATGCTAAACTCAAATTTAACTTTAAATATATACTTTGGTTTTATAAAGTTATCGAGCTACTGCTCTGTAATTAATGGATGCCTTTTCATTTCAATAATGATAGTATTATTTATTTATTATTTAATTTGTATAATTTCCAGTAATTAATATTAACTTCTTCATTATTTAAAATTATCAATTTAGTTTTTCTTTGCTTTAAGTTGAGTCTATTTGTGTACATGTATTGTTAATTATTATATTATTTTATTAATCATACTTGAAACATTTGAACTTTTCATTTTAGAATCTGTTATTGGTGTCTCTTTCAGGGTTTATTATTGGTATTCTAGGGAAGACAGACATTGTTTCATTTTCCATTTAAATTTATTTTTTGTTATTATGGGTTTATACAAATTTAAAAAAAATTATAAACCCATATAATTATATTATATATTTGTACACAGAACTGTACCAAATGTTTGAATAAATGTGTTGATATTTACTATCCTTTTTTTTTTCTTTTCTCTGCTGAAGCTTTTGATATTATATTCTATTGATAGTAATCATCATAGATTTTTCAATGTGTTATAACAAGATCTCAAATGATTGATCCCATCCTTAAACTCTCTAACTATCTATACATATATCTAAATCTCGCACATAACTGGCGCAGTCGGTAGGACACTTTTCGGGTTCGATGAATACGAACTTTACTGTATTAACAGTTAGAAAATCCTAAACCACGTTCATCGGGAACATCCAACTCAAGAACATCAGCGACTACTCAGAAATGATTGAAATTTTGTGAGTAAATAAATTGTATCGCATGTTATAAAACTCTTGGTTTCACAACTTAATTTAGCAATTATTTTTATTGCTATTGTAAAATTGTTTAAATTTTTTATAATATTACTATTGTTATTCTTAACATTAACATGGCTAACTTGGCGGAATTAAGATTTATTTTGGATGCCATCCCTACTTATGATGGCAACCCAAAAACACTAACACAGTTTATTATGAAGGTTGAAGAGGCACAGTTAATAAATGATTATGTTATTAATAACAAAGAAAAACTAAAATTGCTGTACTCTAAAATTAGTGAACGAAGTAAAATAAATAAAGCTACTTTAATTGAAAATTTAAATAAAAATAGAGAACTTCTGCCAGAAATCCCTGAAGACGTTTTTGTTAAAAATAAGCAGATACAAACAAAAACAAAAAATAAGTATAAGAAGGAAAAAATAAGATCCGTTGATAAAAATTTAAAAACGGCAGAAATAGTCCCAACTCATAACACGGTAGGAAAAATTCACTTGTCAAATATTAAAAGACCAAGAAAACTAATGCGAAACGAAAACATTGCAGGCCCTTCCGCCTTCTCTTTGGAATCAACGCATCAGGAGCCGATATAATAGATATCTCGCATAACCCTGGGATAATACCCATAAATCTTGGTCCAGCCAGGTTGGAAACGTCAAAGCATACTTTCATTGATTATATTAAATTTGACCTATTGTTTCAACAATTACACAACTTGGATAAAATTTATGATGAAGTATATATCTGTATTAATAATAAGAATATTAGCTATAAAAATAATATAGAATATGTAACTGATAATGGTAGAAAATTAAGGGACATTGTATCTTATTTAGCATTAATAAATAATAATAGAGGAATAATATTAGAAGTTAGAAATAGTTTTTGTAAAAAATACTAACGATATTAGAACTAAAAGAGGTTTGATTAATGGATTAGGATCCATCGTAAAATTTATTACAGGTAATCTAGATTCTTACGAAGGAGCTCAATTTAATAAAGATATTGAAAATCTAAAAGGTAGTCAAGTTAATTTTGAAAAACAAATAAATTTACAATATTCAATAATCAATGAACTCATTGAGGAATTTAATAAATCATTAACAGTAGTTGAAGAAAATACAGCTGAACTAAAATTGAAAATTTTAGCAGTAAATAAAAAATTAAACAACTATGCTGAATTAGAGAAATAAGAGATACAACAAATTTATTACATATCACTTATGAAATACTATTTAATATAGTACAGGATATCGAAAACTCATTAACATTTTGTAAACTACAGACTTTATACCCTAGTATTATATCTCCTCACGAATTGTTTACGGAAATTACTAGAATTTCTACTTATTACGAGGATCAATTACCACTTGAAGTAAGTTTAAGGAACATTTTTGAATTTGAAAATTATATATATTGGTTCTAAAAAGACCTGCCATGTCTGTCCATGTTCTTTTTTTTTACTGACGGCAATGTGAATGGATAATTGGCATTATTGTAACAGCATTTATGCTGATTCGTTAGTTAAAACACTGCTGCCACTCGGGATTTTTATTTTTGGAACAATTCATCACATTATATTTTAAGAGATTGTAATAAATACCCAGCAGTTTTTGCAACACCCATAGGAAGTTAGGGATTTGCAAAAATTTGTAAACAAGCAATTGTTAACACAAGTAAACAAAATGTATAACTATTTTTTTTATCTAAGCGTTTTATTTGTCAGGAAATATTGTAGAAGTTTACACCTTATACAAAAAGGTTTTAAGTGAAAAATCTTTGATTTCTTAGGATACTTTTTGGCATCAAAGGTTGTGGGTTCGAATCCCACTCCTGACACTTGTTCATCTCAATCAAAACCTTAGATAAAAAGAATAATTAATTGAAATAAAATATAAATGTGCTGAAGTAATTAAACCAAACTTGATAAATCTAAATGTCAAAAAATTAAATATCCCACATACAATTAGGTCTATTGATAAAAAGTAACAGCAACATTATTTTAAAAACCAATAAAGGAAATAAATATAGTTACCATTGAACAAGAAAAATATGTTTCTAAAGTTGAAGAATTCCTAAACAATAACAATGTAAAGAAATAAAAAATGACCCCCTTAAAAAGAAACTAGTGTTCAAACAGCTATAAAAATATTGACTTTCTATACTCAAAGGACCAATATGTGGTTAAAAAACTTGTACCAATGAACCTGAAACTTACGATGTCTATTAACAAATTTGTAAAAGAGATATAATAGACCTCTCAATAAGCCTACTTTCCAATTATTGTAAGTTAAGTTGGTACGGTCAAAATCCAAAACAAAAACAAACCTTTAAGACAGTAGTGTTCTTCTTATCCATGCCACAAACTAGTGATAAAATTAGATACAATAAAACCCACACCAATTTCAAACCTACATTAGGTATTAAAATTGTTTAGAATTGACAAAGCAGTTAAAGAACCACCATGATACCAGTGGATTCTTCTCACTCATGGGCACAAAAAGCTGCTGGATAGATTTGGCTCATAGACTGCATGTAGAAACTCCCATTAACACCAGCTAATCATATAAAAGAATTACAAACAATTAAAACCTTGGCATAAAACAATGGATATCAAAAAATATTTATCGATGGTAGTTAAAAGAATAAAAAAATTAACTTTAAAAGAAGCAACAATAGGATTCAGCCACCCCACCATAAATGAATCATTAGGTTTTCATTGCTTGCCATTGGGGAACTATCAAAAAGTAGGTAAAATTGTTAAACGAAAAGGTTTTATTGGTGCGTGTTCACTTAGAAGCATCCTTTCAAAACCTAAAGACAAGGTTGACGACTTTTCAAAAAGCAGGGTTTTACCAACTTAATTGTAATGATTGCAATATTAAATATATAGGACAAAGCGATAGATAAATTAAAACAAAAGTTTAAAAGAATTTCAACTTAAACATGGAGATAAATGCATAAATAATATAATAGATTTTGATTAACCTCCTATTTGAAATTTAATTAAACATGTACCTAAATAATATTTGACATATAAGTTAATTACTAATTTAAAATTATCTTACAGTATTTATTGGGATAATATTTAGTTTTGTTGTAATTAAGTTTTTCGCACATTCAAAATTGAACGGTGTCAAAAATCAGCTTCTCATTGGAACATGGCATTGGCGGTGTATCACTCTTACAATTCATGTGGAGAGTGTGTAACTCCTTCCAACTGTTGATGAGCGTTTAATGCTAAGTTTAGATAATTGAAACCAACAAATTGTGAATAACGTTGAAAAACATCCTCACCCCACTTTATCATTTCTATTTATAGCCAAATACCATCAGAAAACTTTCCCATATTTTCAATTTTTTTTGCATGCATTACTAACTAAAAACAATATCAATAACTTTAATATCAGTCTTTAATATTATTATCAAAAAATCTTTAAACCATATTACTTTGCGCTAAATGTCCCTACGTAACAAAACAAATTATTAAAAAAAAGATTTCCAATATATTCATTTTTTCAACAAATTTTTGCATCACCATGACATGTATAACGCTCTTCAGGGGAGGGGAATAATTATAATCAATTAGGATAACGGTTAACATACAACAATCAGAAAGGGGAAATATATCTTTGTTTTTAATTTTTTTTTAACAATTCATTCCATTATAGATCATGATATTTTTAGTGAAATATAATTTAATTAAAGTGTTCTATATGTCTTTACATTTTACTGAATGAATACAAATTGTCATCATGATAGTAGAGTACAATAAATACATTTTAATTTAAAAAAAAGAAGAAAAATATATTGATATTTGTATATGTACATCATGTGTAAATAAAAAACACCACTAGTAATATCCACTGATTCTTATGAAATAATTATTCTAATTGGAATAATTTCCAACATAGAAATTATACTGGACAATGAGAGAAGTGTAATAAATACCAAGGAAATAAAACTGTCAAGACATATGTACAAAAATGTATTATGCAATTGTTTATCATCGATATTTTAAATTAAATGACAAATCATTCAATAAGCTTCTTAGACTTAAAATATTTCCTGAAATAGTACACTTGCCAAGTCGAAAGGCAGAAAAGACAAAATACACCAAAGAAACTAAAGTAAATGACTCTGTTGTTTGTTGATTCTGTAAAATAAATCGATAAAAATTAATAAAACAACAGATCAAATATAAATAATTATACAATCAGTTTGAGTTTTACTTTACCATTTGTATTGCTCATTTTGATTTCACTCTCCCTCATGCTTTCAAAATCCTTCACAATTGAATGGGAAAGCTGTTCTAATGCTTTCAGTTCGACTTCCATGGGCTTTAACTTTAGAGCCTCTCCAAGCTGCAGCAAATTTTTTTTAAACATATTTCAATTTGTGGAGAAGTAAAATCAACTGCAATAATTCTAAGAAAATATTATAAACAAAACTTATATAAGAATTTATTTTATTAATATAAATATCAGGTTGAGATAAAAAAATTCTAAAATGACATTCTTTAACTTTTCAAATTTTTTATTGAATTTGTTATCTGACTGGCTTCCAATTTTACTGTCGTTTACATCACTTTCAATTATTGCGCATTACGAATTGTTTTGTAAACAATGCCACCATTTTATGCTGGGTAGTCAGCAGACATTCCTTTAATAAAAATTATGTTGAAGACTGAAATTATGGAAACATGACAACCACATTGAAGACAAAAATAAAAAAACAAAACATTTCATACATTGAAATAGTAAACACTGCAGTACAAGAACTTTATTCAAACAAAACTCCATCCGGTAGTACTGCAAGGGATTTGACCATCTTGCTTCTAGAAGGCCATACTGAGTATGAAGATTAAAGAGAGTTTGTTAGAAATAAAAGATAAATTTATTTTAACAGCCATGACATACCTCACCCTCAGGCCAAAATGAGAGTTTTATTTACTCTTTGGGTAGTGATCTTTATTATTTCCTCAACTACAAATGTACCTAGTTTTCAAAAAAACATTACCAGTCAGTGGCACTGCTATGGCGTGAGGGGGCAGTTTTTTAAATGTTCCTTACTCAGGCGCCAAGCAATCCCACCTTGGTGGTCGACCTGGCAAAAAGGTTGTAGGGATTTTTTTTGTTTATTGTTTTTTGATACATTGAAAATGTTTTTGAGATTTTTTCTAAAAATGTTTTACATCATTTTGGTGTTCATTTTATACGTAAAAATAAAGATATTTCATTGTTGAAACCATTTTCAACTAATACCTTATCTTCAGTAATTCTAGAATATTTTATTTTAATTTATTATTTAATGGTAAAAAGAAGTAGGAGGCAATTAAAAAAAAGTACTATATGAAATAATTAGGATTAGGATATAATAATCTTATAGAAAACCTAATACAGCCTAATGCACATTAATAGTTGATATTAATTGCAAAAAGAATCTAGACTGAGAAAAATTAAATTTAAAATAAAATAAATAAATAAAAATGCTCAGCATTTGGAGTTTTGTTCCAGACCAGAGCGGTTCGAAAAGTGCATTGAATGCATGGGAAAACAGGTACTGTTAGCTGATAGCCAGAACGCTATCCCAACCACAACTTGTCCTAGAAGTGCCTTGGCGCTTTAGGAAATATTAATTAAATCAATATTTTTCTTTCCTCTCGCACAAATACGTTTTCTCTAATATAATTTTTGGGTTTATGGTATGCTTTTGAATATGTACAAATACTACAAATTATGGTCGACTCATTGTATTGAACAAATGATACTTACATTTTCATAAGATTTAACTTCAAGCTTTGATGTAAACGAGACTTCCTGTTGCACACCTCTTTGATCTAAACAAGTTATTCATACTTAAAAATAAGACATTACAATTACAAAAATGAATGAAGCGATCATGAAAAGAAAAGAATTCAACAATTTTGTAATAAGTAGAGCCCTGATTTAAATGCAATAAAAATCCTCAAATAAACCGTATAACATTCACTAAAAAACCCTCAAATATGGCATTATATTAGCACCAAAAATTTTAAAATATGCAGGATTAATGTCAGAGACAGTGTTTTTTCTTTAACCTGGACTTTTTTGGTCTAGTTCATTTTGAAAGGCAATAGGACAGAAAAATCTCAATCAGTCAAAAATGCAATTTAAAATCTTATACAAAATAAATAATTAAGCTTAATTGAGTTACTGATCTGAATTAGAGTATGAATTTCAAGTTAGTTTCTGTAAAATTAGGGCGTTTATCAGTCAAAAAATATTTATTTAAAAAAAATCCAATGTCGGCAGAGGTGATGAGAGCATAATTGTAGGAACTTAAAATAATTGGTATCATAGCTTGCCTGTATAACTTAATTATTACCATTTAAGATTTCATTCATTTACTCCAGTTTGGTCAATCTGGTATTTTTGTCAAGGATGTTTTTTAAATTAATATGTTTTAGTTGGTCTTACCTCTCAAATAAGAAGCCGATAATTTTGAGAGGATTCTATTGTAGCAGTTTGTTTTTAACCTGGAAAGTTAACTGAAATTGGAATAAAATTTTAGGCTCTTTAATCAAAAATGTTTCAAATTTGTGATATTCTTCAAATATACAGATCTTTGCAGAATAAATTTGAATCACCATACCATGGAGGTATGATTTGGATAAATATCTGATCACTGTTGTATTAAGTGTTAGCAAAAAAAAAAAAGCAATTGCATACAAATCCAGGCTCTAGTAATAAGTTGCAATATTCAAATTTTTACTTGACATATTTCATCTTTAATGTTTGAAAACTTTAAAGTAAGTAAACAAAATCAAGTTTCACAATAAGATATTAGTGATGACAAAATCAGTTTTAATACTTCTGAAGAAAAAAAATTCTTACTGATCTCAACTCTTGATTTGAAACAAATTTCGTATGTTTCTTCTGTTTCAACTACAATGGTAAACTTTCCTTTCCCTATGTCACTGCCTTGGGAAAGAGTATGACCTTTCGAATCTGTTACCTGAAAAAAATATAACAATTAAATTTAAGAGTATAATCACAATTTTTTCTCACAGTTTTTCATATCAGGGTTCTGAAATCAAATAAGTCCGCAGGGGCAACAAGAACACTAGGTAGAGATCTCTGCAGGAACATTTTGTCCTAATATCAACTACTTGAAACCAATGGACATGTAGATTTTTTCCAATCAAAATTTAAGCGATTGAAAGATGTGCTCAATTAAATTTACACAGAGGATGCACAAATAAAAATCAATGCCATATAGTGGTCCTCATGGCCATGAACATAGTCAACTTAATAATGGTTCTAAAGAGCAAGATTCAACAAAAAAGGTTGGGAAACAAGCCAGATCCACCACTTTTGGGTACCAGAACAACACGGGAATTGAGGGGAAATTGAACAAGAAAACCCTTCCATGTAATGCGTTTTCACCACTGACAGGACCCCCAAGCCCTTCTGTGGGATATGAATTTTGTTGAATGGAAAAATCTCCCAGCAAGATTGAAAAAGATTTCAGAGGATGCAGGAACTGAAATAAATTAAAATTAATTCTTGTTTCAATAATCCTTCCTCTTTGCTCTGGAAATATTCCAATACCATCCTTACCACATATCCTCCCCTTGACCCTTTCTTGATGTGACAAATGCATTTGATCACCTGTGGCATGAAGGTCTACTGAACAAATTAAAACATTCCAAATACCTTGTACCTAATCCTTTGATCCTACCTAAAAAAATCTTTCGAGTTCACCAATGATCGTACCGATCCGAACATTGTCCTCTGGGAGTGAGAGTGCCACAGGGCAATGTGCTTGTACCTCATCATTACCTCAGATATCCTGACTACACCCTCCACTCTCCTAGCTACCTTTGCCAAAGAGGTACTGCTGGACTATCTCCTGATTCTGATCCAGCAATTGCTTCAGTGCAGCTCCATGCCCACAAGTCACAAATAGCAGAACCAAGCTAATTCTGGTGCCTTAAGATAAATGGAAGCAAATGCACCAATATTACCTTTACCCTCTGAAACAAAACCCATCGTACAATATTCCTCAATAATGCTCATATCCCAAATACTGACTCTACATGTTACCTTGGGTTCTATCTCGTTGTCTACCCTTGAATCAACACATAAAGACTGAAGAACAAGAATTAAACAGATGCTTCAAGCTAGTATTATTATCAAGAATCGTACACATCAACAAGAAGTAAAATAACAATTTATAAGATACTACTGAAACCAATTTGGACAAACGGATTAAAATTATGGGAAACCGCTTAACCTTACAACATCCAAAGAGTCCTTCCAATCCAAAGTCCTTAGAACCATAGACTCATCCAAGTCCTTAGACAGGACCCTTCACAATGACCACCTGGCTCTTCGTTAAAAACCTAATCCCCAACAAATTTTCCACCTTTCACAAAAAACTATCCTCACATCCTAAAACATTGCCCCAATGTGAAGGTAATCTCCAACATTACCTACGCCTGTAACCCAGTAAGGCAAATACTGTTACGTAACTGTTAACATGTTGCTGGCTCCCCAACAGATATATGTTGATTCTGCAAAATGGAAGAAACCTTCAAACATTTTCTAAAGACTGCAGAGGATGCAGCTCGCTGAACCACTACACCCAGGACAAATAATAAATTCGTACATGTATTAAATATCTTCGGCAACTAACCCACTGATGAAAGGCCAAAACGTGCCCAAAACAGAGAGAATAGGCGTAACAGGATAAGAAATGACAAAACTACAGGTTTATAAATGTGCAGATCTCAAAAATCTGAGATCTCTTAGCGAAGAAATGAAATTAAAGAACCCTCCAATCTCTGAGTTCCATTTGTTCATCTAAACCCAAAGAATGGATTCACCTTGATCGTGGGAGATCAGCATGCAGATCAGTGTAGTAATTGATCGGTCAACATTTGTGAGAGACCCAAGGAAGATTTAAGTAATAAAATAAAGAGAGTTATCAATTATCTGAAAATTGTATAAAGAAAAATGTAAATTTTTTTTTAAGGCGCGATGTTGTTTACTCAAATGTAAATGATGAAGTTTGAGTTTAATGACGGGGAGCGTTAATTGTACTTACAATATAGTCGACGTGCTGTTTTGGTGCCATAGTCACCTCGTACGAGCCAATGACGAGATCATCTTTTTTCAAATTTTCTCTCAGACATTTTTGTGCATTCGGTGGCAAGTAGAACATAATGGAATTAACATTAAACACGCTCAGCAAGAGGCAAAAACATATTTGGCAATACTTCATCTTGTAATTTCTAACAAATGTGCAACAAAATAATAAATTAAACTATAAAAAAATTGTGTGTAAAAAGAAAAGACAATTGTTAAGACATGCGAGCAGAGGGCGAACCGACTACACGAATATATATTGTTAAGGTGAGGTGAAGAGTTGGCATTAGACGGAGAAATTAAAAGGTTATGAAGCCGGAGGGAGTTGATGAAATGCACCGATCATCGGTCGCACGTCACGTTCAACGTGACATCATCGAAGTTCAAAAAAAAAAGGTTAAAACAATTATTTTACAGAAAAATACTCAATCCTATCAAGTAATAAAAAATCAGCGGGGTGGGTCACCCGAGATCACGGCCTGTAGGTGCCCCCCCCGAGCCGGAAACGAGGATGCTCCTGGGCCAAAGCCGCTTATGCAGAGAAAGGTTGCTCGATGTATCCCACATAATAAAAGCTTGTCATGCCTTGGCTCCTTATAGAGAGCGTGTAGGTATGCCGCCGAATTTAAAAATGGTTCTCCGGCACGGTAGCGAGTCTCTGGATCCCCCGTTCCGCTTTTTGGAGGATGTGGGTTTTTTTATTACATGTAGATATGTTTTATGTGTTTTGTTTGACTGCGTGTATTTATTAGTGTGAGTATTGAGAGGTTGATGGTGAAAGATAGTGTCACCATCGCCCCACCAGCAGTGTATGTGTGCTTAGGGTCGATAGTCGATGTTATAAAAGTACCTCATCGGCCATAATTTAGATTAGACTATTAATACTATGTGTAGGTCGATGAAGGAATATCAAGTACTCCATCGACCAGTCAGAATAAGCACTACATTTGTATTTATATGTATGAATACGTTTATTTGTGCAACTGTATATGGAATTTAGTTAGTTTTCGTCTAGATTATAGTTTCCATGTGTTGGAGGCCGAAATGACCTAGCTGTCGACATCTTGGATCCAAACTCTGTTGGTCGGGAAGCGACGAACTTATGGGCATCTGGCTTAAGTACTACTGACCCAGCTACATAACGGGGTAAGTGAACTCCCTGAGGTACAAATACAACACAATACATATGGCATCGAACTGTGGGTTTCAACCATCATATCGTCCAAAGTTCCTTGACGACCTTAACTGTTTGTGGAAGATGTCATAAAGGTCATTGACTGTCCCTGCTACATCGCTTTTGAAGATGGTATGGGTGACTGTTTCTTCATCCTCATTGCATAATCTTCAATTGGGATCATCATTGATTGTACACATGTTATGTAGATGTTTTCTCAGATGCCAGTGATTTATTCCTATCACTCATCTGTGTCTTGCCCTCTCCAATTGGAGCAGTAAGTTTGCCAGTCTTGGTAAGGGTTGTTTTAGTCTAAGTTTATTGTGTTTAGCTTCTCTATAGTTTATTCACTTCTCTTTTTGTTATTTGGATCAATTCTGTGATGGATGATTCTGTATTTGCTTTTGTTATTCCAAGTATATGTTCAGGGTCTATATATGGTTTTGCAGATCCTCCTCTGGCCAATGGGTCTGCTTTTTCGTTACCCAAAATTCCTATGTGTCTGGCACCAAAGATATCATTAGGTTGTTGTGTTTCTCCAGGTTTTGGAGATTTTGGATGCATTCACTGACTAGTTTTGATGTGACTTTTTGCTTTAATAGCTACTTGGCTATCTGATCTTATGAGGGTTTTTTTGCCAGTGTAACCTCTTTTAAGATTTTCTAAGGCACAAGCATTGATGCTTGACATATCAAAGTGTACTTCCTAAATGAGGTCAATTGCTCATATTTTGCACTTGTGCAGAAAATGCCTGATCCTTCATGTTTTGGAGCAATCTGTATACCAATCATTGTATATGATTTCCTCCTGAATTCTTCTTTTCCTTTGTAGTCTGTTGTACTTTATAGGATGTTGTAAAGAATGTTTCCGGGTTAGTATAGTTAGTCCCCATTTCCTAGAATGGGTGTCTGGTTTTATTAATTACAGTTGTGTGCCCAAATTGTTTAGTTCCCATCCAATGTGATTGTTTTTAGAGTCTAAATGAGCTTTTCCTAGCTATTCCTTGTTTCCTGTAAAGGTAGGTTTAGGCGAGTATCTAGTGTACTTGTGATATATGAGTTTGATAATCTTTATATGCTGCTTAGTGTTTGGGTTGCTAGTTTTTGTTGTGCTTTACGTCACTAGATTAGTGATCCAAGTTAATTTGGGTCTTATTACTGCTGTGTATAGCCAGAGTGTGTTTTAGGCCTATTACTGTGGCCATTAGCAATATTTTAAATTTTGTTATGATGTGTTGCAGGTGAGGGCTCTAGGTTAACTTTCATCAAAGATTATTCCTAGGTATTTATCCTCATTTTTTAGCTGCAGCATTTCATTATAGAAGCATAGGCTTTGTATTTTTATGTTTCTTTTCTTGGTGAAAGCAATTCAAGTAGTTTTTGAGGGGTTTCCTTTAAATTCCTGTAGTGAACACCATTGTTCCACCATGTTTAGTGCTCTTTGGGTGACCTCTTTGAATGTTGAGTCGAATTTACACTGGCTAGTATGACAATGTCATCTGCATAGCATAGCATATTGGGTATAGATTCGATTTATTTGAATATGAGGTCATCCACTACCACATTCCACAAAAGAGGCAAGAGTATTCCTCCTTGTGGACCTCCTCTCGCCACCAAAGCTTCTACCTTTTAGTCGAACATGGAGGCCTGTACTTGTCTGCTTTTTAGCATTGATTCTATCCATCTGCAGCAGTTTTTATCAGTTCCTCGCTGTTTCAGTGATATAACCTTTGCTTTATAAGGAGTGTTATCAAATGCTCCTTCAATGTCCAAGAAGGTTCCTAATGCTATTATTTGGTTGTTCAGGGTTGGTTGTTATCTATTTGCATCATTATTTGGTGTATTAATGTGTGGTGATTAGTGACCGTTAATCGATAATTATTCAGAAATCGTGAGATGCGGTCTGATGTGATTTCAGAAAAACATTTTCTTTATCGTGCCAATGTTTCGATCTTTACTGAGATCATCTTCAGGGCTCAAAGTATTTGTCTTCTGTGTAATTGTGCCATTCTTGCGTGTCGTGTTGAGAGTGCCTTGGTGTTGTGCTGAATAACAGGATTTTCCTTTTTGGTAGGCATGTTGATATTTACGAAGGGGTTTTTATTTTAGAAAGCTGCCCCTTATATGTTTTTCAACTAGCCTTTCGAGTGTTTTGAGTAGATAGGTTGTTAGAATGAGCAGTCTGTACGATTTTGCATCTGGGCAGTTTTTCCGTGCGACCTTTGGATTAAAAACTACTTTTACAGATCTCCATGTACTTGGGATGTATCCATCCCATTGCCAGGCAGTTTTTGTATATTTTTACAAGTAGAGGGATTAGTGTATTTTCCCCTTTTAAGGAATAAAATTATTACCAACCTGTATTTTCCCCTTTTAATATAACCAGTACTCACTGGTTATATCCCATCTGTTCCTGGAGATTTGTATGGGCTGAAGTTGACATTGGCCGTTTTGATTTTTTCACAGGTGATTTGCCAATCTTCTCTGCTGGTTTTGTGCCCTTTGACGGGTTCAGTATTGCTATAATATTTTTGATTCTGGAAAGTGTGTACTTTTAGCATTTCTAATATTTCCTTTCCGCTTTTGTTTTTTCGTTGCAAGGACGTGCTCACTCATTAGCCTCTACTCCCACATGCCGTGAAACCTAGCAGAGGGTGTTTTTTTTTGCATGCCTGATCTGTTTATTTTAGTTTTGCAATTCAGCACCATCTGCGAAACAGCTAATGATGTTTGATCTTACTGCTTTGATGGTTCCTTGGCTACTGACATGATAGTTCTAGTTTTTGTACCCTTTGTTCAGATTGAACTGGGTACATCTCTCAACTGCATGGACTTCAGCCTGGAACATACTGGTGAATTTTCCCATAAATTCTGGTTCCAGGATCGAACACTCTTGCCCCCGTACCTTCCTGCGTTCTAGATCCATCAGTGAACCAGCAGATGGTGCCGTTCTCAACTGCGTGGTTTGTCTCTCTCTTTTCCATTATTTTTTGGTACTTAGATTTGTTTTGAAATTTGGCTTGGACTCAAACTTCCTGTTCATGCCGTTTCTTGAGGCCATTGATATCGGATGTTCCTTCATTGAGCTGTTACTATCCTCCGTTTAAGTTTTAGCCCCGTTGGAGGTTTCTCTTTTAATGTTAATAATGGTTTTCTGTGCTGTCCTCATTATCATATGGTGGAGGAGGATTAATCCCAATATTTTCTCCAGTTATGCAGACGCATGCAAATTTGTATTTTCGCGAGTTCTTATGGGTATGCAATGACGAACCTGCTGTTTGGTCATCTCCGATCGGCCTGGTCCGTCTGTCCTCGCTGATTGGGTCTGCCAATTGTCAAAAATTCGATATAAGTGTCAGTATTTCCAGCGCGTTTGTTCTGTCAGACAAAACCGACTATTGCTCGATTGCTTTACGTAATTAGAATTTTCATATATGTTAAAACAGTAGTGTAACTCCCTAAAGAAACAATTTACGTATGAAGTTATATTGATGATAAAACCCCACAAAAACTAGTTTTTTCTTCTATTACACGACGTGGTTAAGACGACCCGTTATCATTTAAAGGGAATAAAAAATAAAAAATAACACCCTATTGAATCCGATATAAAAAGTAACAAAGGGTAACTTGGACTCATTTTCGGAACATATCTAAGTAATTGTCTGATTCGTTGTTTTGTCACAACCTCATTATCTTCGCATAATAAAGAAAAACAGCTTATCTCTTCAACAATGAAACAATGATAAATTTATCAAGACACACGCCAGTAAAAGATTTAGGAGTGTATTAGCAACTCAGCATAACAACAACATAACATAACACAACATAAGCCGAATGAGTTGTCAAGTAATACAATGCTATTAAAATTGTATTGTACAGTTTTCTGTATCGACATATGTTAAAACTGAAGCACAAGTCCAAAATCAGCTAACACTTTAAAAAGGTAAGTTTAAAGTGATCAGTGCTGACAAGGGTAAAAGAAGGGAAAAAAGCCGATGGATATATATGGTTGAACCTGTAGCTTGTTCGTCTTGGATCATCCTGGTCCTTCCAGTATCGCTGGTTTTGTTCGCCGACCGTATCCATATTCAGAGGTTCAGTACTGTGAAGCCTTGTGACATGGTTTTTCAACA